TTAGAAGAACGCCTCACTCATGTCATGACTAGGTCACGTCTCATACACACAGGATTCACACTCTTACACACCTACACCCATTCTTATCCCACCTACCCAAGTGACACTTACAGTCTCCTTTTCTAGCCTGGGTCTTCGTGCACGAGTTTTTACAGGGGAATTTACTGCAGTCTACTCCGGGAGCTCAAAATTCTTTGCTCATAATTTACCTTATGGATTTCCTCTTCCCTGAGAGATTCCCCCATCACTCAGGGCCCCGGAGGCAGAAGCCTCCAAGGTGAGGCGCCTCCCCGAGATCAGGAGTCTCCCTCAATGGATTTGGAAATTCCCGGCCAATGCACAGCCCTCTGTTAAGAATAAGAAGCTTGACGAAGCCAATATTCAAGTAGCAATCAATTTATTATTTAATATGGTAAAGTATGAGCAATACAGCGCTGGGTACAGTGGGGGAAGTTCTCCCTCCAACTGCACACTGATAATTGAGTGTTACAGGTATTTATAGGGATACCTATCAGGGTTTTTCCAGCAGTTTCTATTTCCAATCTTTCACTCATCAGCAATTTTTATTCCAAATTTTTACGTCACAATTCTATACACTATTGCTATTTTAATTTCTCAGGATGTATTTTCAAAGGAGTATCTCCAGATGGTGACGGTCCAGTTTCCAAAAGAAGAAAGTCAAATCCCATCTGATGGAGTCCAGCTCCCCAGATGTGGGTCCACCTTTTAATTGCAGAGACTATAAATCTCATAAACAGTGATGTCCAGCTTCCCTTTGTTCGAAACCATAAATCCTTGAGGTGATGTTCATCTTCCTTTCTCAAGCTGTTTTTCTCTGCTTCAAATTTCCTTTATATATATTCCAAAGCTATAGTTTCAAGGATACAAGTAATATTCTAAAATTAGACTTCAAAAGGTTATTATTGCAGAGCTTTTTATGGATCAAATGTGAGCAAAAAGCAACATTTTTAACACCTTAATTCCAATGCTCCTAAATCAACTAGGGTTAATTGCAAACAAAAGATAGGTTCAAAGGCCTTTTTCTATGCTTTATTTTCCTCAGTTATTATTAGAATTCACAACTCTCCCATTGTCGGGGTCCACACATTTCGCATTCACAAATACACACATCACTTGTTTGTACCTGACACGAAACACAGCTTTGCATCTCACAAAGGTTGTCCACACTGGGTCAGAGCTTAAGACACAGCTTCTGTGAGCAGGCCAGAGCTGCTGAGGAGAGACCCTGGGTCAATATCAATCACACAATGCTGCAGTCATCTCTGATCTAAAGAGAAATAAAATAAAATACATCATTTAAAATAGGAATGTGTATTTCTGACAAGTTCTTTGAAATCTTTCTCCATAACTGGACTAGGAAAATTTCAATGACCCTCTCAGGGCTTTGCTGTTGTTTACATCAGACTCAGTCCCTCAGAGAGTGTTCAAAAAACTTCTCAAGAACTCAAACTTAAATTTAGACTCCAAAGTTTCTTGAAGTTTTAATGGGTCCCACTGAGGGACACGACTGAGGAAGTGTCCCCAGGTTCCAGGGACAGCAGAACACTGGAGGCAGTGATGACAGCTGGGGACAATCAAGGCCAAGGTGTCTCTGGTGCTGAGCAATGCTGGATGTGTTTGAGGAATGCAAAGGGCCAAGGCCTGAGCCCCAGCCCCTGGCCAGGCAGATGCTGTCCCTCCCTCCTTGCTCAGGGCTCTTGCCGGGATGGGCACTGGCATGTGGGGATGTGCAATGGCAAGGGCAGGAGCATGGGGCGGCCCCTGCCAGGCTGCTGAGCAGGGACAAGGAGGCAATGAGGCCCCAGGCCTGCAAGGGTCACTTGTCTCCTGCTCCTGCCTCAGGCCCAGGCCCAGCAGCCATGGCCAAAGTGCTGCCCAAGTTGGCTCTGGCAGGGCTGTCTTGCAGCTGCTGCACATGCCTGTGCCCTGTGCAGCCCAGGCTGTCCCACGGTGTCCCTGCCCTGCGCCTCTGTCCCTGCAGGCTGTCAGCATCCCCCAGCTGCCCCTTCCTTTGCTGACAGCTCTGCCTCCTGCCTGCCTCCGCCTGCCCACACAAAGCCTGGGGCTGACTAAGGCTCCTTCTGGGGATGTGTTGTGCCCCAGCCCTGCCAAAATGGAAATGAATCTCTCCTCATTTCCATTCTGGGTCATTACAGCTGCACTTGGTGACAATATTTCTATCTCAGGCTCATTTCCACTATGAAGGAGAGGTCCATTATATTTGAATCCACCTCTGTAGTCATCACAGGCTGTTCTTGTTCTGTCCTCAGTCTCCACACTTTTGAACCCAGGACTTCCAGCTCCCATATCGTGATCAAGTTCTTGGGGCCTCCAAAGCACATCCTGGGAGATCTCTGGGCCCTCTCAAAGGTGCTCAGCCGTGGAGATGTGATTTAAGACCAGGAATGGCTTTTTGCCCAGAGATTGTACTGGGGAATATAATACAGAATAATACACTGTATCTTTAAACTGACTGAGGGCACATTTAGATTTTATGTAAGGTGAAATATTTTATGATGATGATGGCAGGACACTGGCACTGGTTGCCCGTAGAATAGAAGCCCAATCCCTGGAAGTGCTTAAGGTCAGGGGCTTTGTACAACCCAAACAAGGGAAGGTGTCCCTGGGTAATGGAAGGGGAGTTTTACCAGAGACTCTTTTAGGTCTCTTCTAACTCAAACCATTTTACAATTCTTTGATTCTGATTTCCCAACTGCTTCTCCACAGGGCTGCAAGTACCTATGCACACCATGCCAGCATTTTAATCTGGCCTAATTCCCAACATTTCCTTAAAAAGGAAAGAATTGCTATATCAGGGACATGAATTGCCGTGTTTATGGAGGAGCCATTAAAAGCCCCAAAAGTAAAGAAACGGAAAGGAAGAACCAACATCTCATTGTGAAAGATCACCAAGTGAGACTCTGATGATGAGCTCCCAGCTGAGGATGGGGGTTTCTGGCTTGGGGTCTGAGTATCAGGATGGAAGGTCACTCCCAGGAGGAGTCCCTGTGCATTTCCCTGCCCCATGGCTCTGCCCTTCCTGATCCAGCAGCTGTGGGGCAGCAGAGCTGGGGCAATGCAGGGACAGGGCTGGCTCTGACAGGGCTGTTGTGGTTTAGGAATGGTGCTCTCCAATTTCTTACTCCCACTACAAAGACCACGTGTCTCCCCAGATTTATATTCCCACCATTGTCCCCCACACCACAGGGGCTTTGCTTGCCTGCCTGGCCCTGCTTGATCTCAGCCCACGTCTCACGGTCAGGGATAACCTGGAGATGGTGTCCATGGTTAAATCCACCCCTTGCTCATGAGCTCACCTGGAGGTTGCATCTTTTCACTGATAATCTGAGGTGTCCAGAAATAACTCACCCTTGTGTGGCCAGTCCAGACCCCCCTGAGACACTTTAATCCTGGCAGCCCCATCCTCCTGTCCGTTGTTGTGATGCTCTTCAGTGCCCGACTCTTGGGCACATGAGCATCCACACGAGGGACTTTCACAGCCAGGTTCTCCCTCGGACAGAGATGTCTTGCCCCAGTCCAGCAGCCCAACTGGGTTTCCCTCTGCACTGCCAATTGCCCTTTTTCCATGGTTCCAGCCACCCCACAGAGCATTTCCCACCATCCCCGAGTCAGTGCAGAGGTGCAGTGCTGGCCATTTCTCTCACTCAGAGCTCCAGGTACGGTCCCAGTGCTACAGTGACTGCAGGAAAGGGGACCCCACAATGGGACATTTCTTGGTCAAATACAGACAGGAAGAGTGACAAACTGTCTGTGACTCAGGTTTCGGCCTCGCAGCCCCCGCCGTGGTTTGCAGGGAGCTGCAGTGTGGCCCGGCCCTGGCTGTGCCCAGCAGTGCTGGCCTGGGAGAAGGTGTCAGTGCCAGCTGGCCCAGGGAGCTGCAGCGTGTGGGGAACAAATCCCCCCTGGCTTCTTGCCCCAGGGTGACACTGCAGGGCCAATGGAACCAAGGGGCCATTGTAGCACTTCAGGGCCCCATGGAATTAAGGGGACTCTTTGGACATTGTGGGGCCTTGTGGGACTGACGCCATTGTGACACTTCAGAACCAAGGGGCCGCTGTGAAACTACAGGGCCTTGTGGAACTGATACTGAAATCACCCAAATAGAAACTTTCTAACACAGTTTGAGTATTAAAAAGCAGCCATTCTTTATTGCAGCACTGATCACTTGGAGGATCCTTCCTTCATTTGAGTACACTGAGCATCAGGTGAGCAGAGGTTTTATCACACACACTATTTACATATTCATGAGTTGTTCCTCTGTGGTGGCCTACAGCTGGCCTGTATGCCTCACAGTATAAATAATTCCAACTTTATAACTGAAATAAGTGATTTATTATATAATTCCCTTACTTATGTAATTTGACCATTAAGAGCATGCCCAGGCCTTTGGGGACTCAGGCTGCTATTGACTGGTTAGCTGAATAGTAACTGGCTCAGCCAATGAGGATTAACCTCACGGGCCTTTTCATTTATATAAGGGTGATCTCAATAAAGCTGCCTGTTGCTGCATGAACATGGAGTGTCTAGGCCCCTGTCTCCTGTCACTGTAGGGCACAAAAGAACAGAAGTGCACACTGCTGCTCTCAAGGTGAAGAAAAAAGGGAAGATTATTTTCTAACTCCAACATTTATCGTTTTCCAAAAGTGATAGTGGATTGGAGGGTGACAGTGCCACCTCTCCAATGACACTGGATAAACCAACAGTCCATGAAATTTCTCCTCCTCCATAAAAGAATGGAAAAGAAAGTGCATGAGAAAGTTCACTACAAGAATGTCAACATCAGAAGGCTTAGAAAATGTTGAAAAATAAGGGCGACATCTCACCCTTTTCTGTTTAAAAAAAGAAAAAGAGAAAAGAAAATGAACAATGTGAAAAAGAATACATGAACAATAGTCAGTGTTCATTTGTGGAGGAATCATTGGAGTGATCACTCCCGTCGTCTGCATCCGAGTCATCACTCAATGATTCACCCGCTTGATGCCTTTCAGGTTGGTCACAGTTTCCATCTTGCCCGTCAGCTGGATTCTGTCTCTGCGGTCCAGGTCAGGGCGAACACACTTTGAGGTACCCAGCGTACTCCAGTATCTGTGGACCCGCGCCCCAAAGTGATAAGGTCATAGGGACCTTCCCCCTGTTTGGTGACTAAATTCTGCGCCCGAACCTTTGCTCGAGGCTGATGTGCCTCATCCAGAGGCTGCAACGAGAGATGGTGATTCAAAATGAAAGGATTATTTGAGTTCTGCAGCACAGTGAGATGATTGATTGCACACAAAGTTTTTGTTAACTAACTCTGCGGGGTTTCACACTGCATTCCCCTTTTTTGTTTTTGAAGAACCTGCTTCAGAGTACCATGAGTGCTTTCTACAATAGCTTGACCAGTCAGAGAATGAGGGATACCAAACCTGTGAGAGACACCCCACAACTGCAGGAACTGCCGCACCTTTTGCGATGCGTAAGCAGGACCATTGTCAGTTTTCACAGCAGAAGGTATGCCCAGAATGGCAAAGGTCTGCCTCCAGTGGGCAAGGACATCACGGGCCTTCTCCCCAGTGTGAGCAGAAGCCCACATCACAGATGAGAACGTGTCCACAGTGACATGCACATACCTGAGCCAGCCAAACTTGGCAATCTGGGTGACATCGGTCTGCCAAAGCTCCAAGGCCCTAAGGTATCTGGGGTTTGCCCCTACCGGCAAAGGCAGACCAAGTGCGTGGCAGTCATCACATGACTCAACAATGTCACGAGCCTCAGTTGGCGTCAGCTGAAACTGCTTCTGCAGGGTATGTACGTTTTGGTGGAAAAACCCATGCGATCTTCGGCCTGCGCGAGTGTATCAGGCTGAGGCGCTACCCACGTTGGGTTAGCCAACTTGTCAGCCCTCGCGTTACCTTCCACTATAAAGCCTGGCAAATTGGTGTGACTCCTCACATGCAGAACATAGAATGGATGAACCCGGGCCTGAATGGCACACCACAAGGTCTTCAGTAAATGAAACAAGGCAGGATTACTGACCTCCTTCAAAACCAAATGACCCAACCACTGCGTGATGTCAGCCACATAGGCGGAATCCATGACCAAGTTGAAAGGTTCCTGCGAAAATTTCTCAAATGCCATGACAGCAGCCCTCAATTCAACGAATTGGGCTGACCCATCGTCATGACCACCCAGAACCTGCTACTCTGATCTGTCCCTCCAAGTAACAATGGCCTTTCCTGTTTTCCCTGAACCATCAGTGAAGACAGTGGCTCCTTGCACGGGTTCCTGACTATTTTTGGGCTGCAAAGGGATTTGTGTGAATTTTGCCATATGCAGTAGCCTATGGCTGGGCAGATGATAAGTGATCTGCCCTGAAAGTTTTCCGGAGCACTCTGCGGGGACACACTGTTTGCAAAGCTCCAGTCAAAATCCTTCCATTGTACTGGGAATATGATCTTTGCGGGATCCACACCCATCAATTGCAAACATTGTTGGCGGCATTTGATTATCAAGCAAGCAATTAGCTCAAACAATGCAGTTGCCGTCTTTTGCAGCTGATGGGCCAGGAAAACCCATTCCAAAATGAGCAAGGAATCGGAACATTTGTCACTCCACTGGTCAATGATGCCTGTGGGATGCGAATCTGGAGTGATGATGAATACAGTGACATCAACAGAGGGATCAATGTGATGAACTTGGCAAGCTGAAACAGCTTGCTGAACCACCTCCAGCACCTGACGTGCCTCAGGGGTCAATGTGCGAGGTGAGTTTAAATCAGAGTCCCCTTTCAACAAATCATACAGAGGAGACAGCTGTGCATCGGTTAGTCCCAAGTACGGACGTAACCAAGTGATGACACCCACCAATTTCTGAGCATCATTCAGTGTCTTCACACAATGCACAAATTGCACCTCCATGTCAAAATTGTCATTTTGACCCCCAAATACTTCCTAGGAGGTTGCTGTTGAACCTTTCCTGGAGCCACCTGCAGTCCATGAGCATGCAAAGCATGGAGCAACCGAGGCTCAATCCTCTGCAGCTCATCCTGGGTGGACGCAGCCACCAAAATGTCATCCATATAATGATACAGACATGAATCAGGAAACTGCTTGCAAACTCCACACAAGGCACAGGCCACATACCATTGCCATATGGCAGGGAAGTTCTCCATGCCCTGAGGCAATGTCCTCCATTGGTATCTCTACGCGGGCTCAGCATTGTTAATTGCTGGCATTGAGAAGGCAAATTTTGTTCTGTCATCGGGATGCAAAGGAATCGTAAAGAAACAATCCTTCAGATCCACAATGAGGACTGGCCAGTCGGTGGGAAGTGTGGCAGGCGATGGCATGCCCGCCTGCAATGTTCCCATGCTTTCCATCACGGCATTGACCTTTCGGAGATCTTGTAACAACTGCCATTCCCCAGATTTCTTTTTGATGCAGAAGACAGGAGTGTTCCAGGGACTGGTAGAAGGCTCCAGATGATCCTGGTCCAACTGCTCCTGCACCAGATTCTAAAGGGTGACCAATTTATCTTGAGGGAGGGGCCACTGGTTCTCCCAGACGGGTTTGTCCACCAGCCACTGTATAGGAGGCATAGGACACTCTGCGCCCTTCATCGCAGTGGCCCCCATCAAAAACCCGTCCCGATGCGCACCCCCCAGGCAGACAGAACATCCCTCCCCCAGAGGTTTTCAGAAATGGAAGCAACACGAGGCCTAACCCAAGCCGTCTGTCCATCCGGGTTCGTGACCAGCATGGGCCACTGGCTCACGTGGCACTTCATTCTCCCTCCCACGCCCACGATAAACGTCTCCACTGGATCCAGGGGCCACTCCCAGGGCCAGGCAGCATGGGAGAGAACCGTGATGCCAGCACCACTGTCAAGAAGCCCATGGAGGTGAATCTCTGATGGCGTCGCACCGGGAACGGACAGGGTACGTACGCAGCATCTCGGGAGGGTCCTTGGCCAGGACAGTGGTCCACTTGAGGCGGCCCAGTGGATCCAAAGCCGCCCGCTCCACGTGACCGGTCAGCTGTCCTGGGAACAGAATAGGACTTAAAAGGCACAAGCTGAGCAAGTCGCGTCCCTTTCAGGATCGTGACGGGGAGGGTGGGTGTGGAGACCGTGGCACAAATCTGCCCTGTGAAATCTGCACCTATGAGCCCCAGGTGCACAATGATGCCCTGAAGAATGGCACTAGACCTCCCCACCAGGAGAGCACTCATGCCCCCACCCAAGGGACCAAAGGCATCCAGGGGAACCTTGTGTATTTGACAAGATTCTAAAACAACTGTTGCTGTGGTGCAGACATCCACACCTGCTGAGCCACGGGTGCTGACTGCAAGCCAGCAAAGCAAACTTCCATCGGCTCTGGGGTCTGGGGAGAAGCTTGTGTCTGCACGCGCTCCTCCTGTGTGCTCCGCCTGACATTTCCTGAGCCCAGTAAAGCCTGGCCATTAACATGAACAGTCACCTTGCAGACATTGGACATGTGATTTGGCCTACCGCACTGACCACACAAGAACATGGGAAATCCGACCTTCTGTGCTTTCTTCCCCTGCTTCTTGCCAGCCTGCGCAGTCCCCTGCTGTGGCCGCCTGCCCTGCAGTGATGCCCAGACCAGCTGCACAGTAGCAGCCACAGCAGCTAACTTCCAGCCCAGGGGGACGATGTCTGCACAGTCCTCTGCCATCTGGGAGACAGTAGGAAAACCAGGCAGAGCCACTATGACCCTCCTACAAGCATCATTGCAATTGTACCTCACAAGGTTTGCAATCACAATCCTCCTGGCAACAGGATCAGGCACCTGCCTCTCCACAAATGCAGTCAGCCTTGCCGCAAATGCCATGAAAGGCTCATCAACCCCCTGGACAATGGTCGCAAACGGCTTCTTTGGAGCAGCCATTTCCAGGGTCTGAACAATTGCTGCCATGCCCGGCATGTGGCACTGGTCAAGCACAAGGGGATCGAATCCAACCTGCCCCCGAACATCGGCATAAAGCCCCACATCCAACAGCACGTCAGCGACAGCCCCACACCTGGGGTCCTGCGGCGCCAGCGCAGCATTCTGCACCACTGCCTTGGCCGCCAAACAAACCCACTTGGGTCTCAAAAGCATCATATTGCAAAGGGTCAAAAAGAGAATGTGCCACACGACGGAGGTCATGAGGCATCAGCACATCTGTAGCAACCCTCCGGAGAGTCTGCATAACCTCAGTAGACCCCAAACCATGCTGAGCAACCGCATCATGGACTTCTCTCTCCAGCTTATATGAAAGGGGTTGATGGGTGTTATGAGTAACACCCCTGAGCACCGGGAAAGCCTGGGAACCCCCTGGCAAAGCCACAGCACCTGCTGTGTCCGGTCCTTGGGCCCCACAGGAACAAGAGTAGATGATTGACTGGGAGCCAGCTGAACACCACTCGCCCCCGCGCCACCTGCAGCACCAGCAGAGTCAGAGGACCCCACTCCACAACCCTGCAGATGCCGTGAGGAGGCAGGCTCACACACCTCGTCAGACTTAGTTTTGGCTTCTCACCAGAAACACACGGGGTCCCTCAGATGCATGGTCACCTGGCATGAGGGAAGCATCCACAAATTTGACGAGGAGGTGCCACAGCCCCGGACACCCACCAGCCTCCCACTGGCCGTGTCAGCATTTGCGCTAAAGGTGAGCACCTCAGCGCCCTGTCAGGCCACAGCCCCGGCAGGGGGGCACCACGGCAGGCACAGGTGCCAGCACAGCTCGCAAACCTGGTGTGGACTGGGATGAGACCGGTGTGGGGTGCCTGGTCCCTGACATGGGGGAGGGGCGGGGTGCCAAGAGAGGCGCGGCCCGCGGAGCCGAGTCACTGACAGGTGGCACAAGGGAGTCTGGCACAGCCCCTGTGAGCGTCCAACCTGAGATGCTAGACTCTACAGCGGGCACCATCCCCACTGAGCGGAGTGGCGTGGACTGCCCACCCACTGGAGTGGGGCCTGACAGAACGCCGACCACCGCCCCACTCCCGGCTGCTTCCACCGACTGCGCATGCCCAGCAGGCTGTGCAGGCCCAGAGACGGGCGAAGTCGCCCCCCCTGCTGTGCTGCCTGACTTGCAGGCAGGTGAACCTGCCCTTGCCGCACTCAGGGGGAATTTCGTGGAAACACGGCAGTTCGGACAAAGAGTCATCACCGAATTAGACTCAATCCGAGGCAGAGGCTGACCCTCAAGCACCGGGAAGGGACAAAGAGAGGGCAGCACGCCCCCCGCCCCACCGCCTGTGCGGGGCAGGGCGAGGCGAGGACGTCCAGCTGACTCCACAGAGTCCCCAGAAGCCCACGGGGCTTCACCTCCCGGACTCAGGACCAGCTGGCCAGGACCCCAATCCACCCCAGGGGAACAATCATCACCCACCAGCACACCGTCCCGGGGTGGGAGGGAGGGCTCCACAGAAATTCAAACTCCCCCTCGTCCACGTCCGAGACTGAAGGGCTCCCCTGGGAACTCCGAGGGCTACAAGAACCAGACTCCCGCCAAATCTCCTCACACTTTTTCCACTACACCAGCACCAATCTCACGTCTACGGTGCAATCATCAAAGAGGGCCTCTATGAAGCGGACCCCCACGAGAGACCACTCCTCCCTGGAGAACGCTTTCGCAGGGTCCAAAAAGAGCCCTCGCTCTCGGGCCCACAGAAACAATCTCTCAAAATCACTCCAGGAAACAGAAACCTGTTTCCACTCCAGGACCTCCATCCAGAGGTTCAAAAAGAGGGAATCCTTCTCGAAACCCACAGAGGTTGCCATCACCATCAGAACAGGCAAAGCACCAAAGAGGGGGGCGGACAACACGACCTCACCACGATCCGGACTCTGTGTCTCAGCCTAGGCTGCAGTTCACTGCGGCGGTCACCAGATGTCGCTATAGGACACGAAACAACACACGCGCACACCGCTGCTCTCAAGGTGAAGAAAAAAGGGAAGTTTATTTTCTGACTCCAACATTTATTGTTTTCCAAGAGTGACAGTGGATTGGAGGGTGACAGTGCCACCTCTCTAATGACACTGGACAAACCAACCATCAACTTTCTCCTTCTCCATAAAGGAATGCAAAACAATGAGTTATTTACAGAAAGTGTGTGAGAAAGTTCGATACAAGAATGTCAACATCAGAAGGCTTAGTTAAAATCCTAAAAAAGCAAACAGAAACCTACTCCCAATGCTACTGCCTGGAACATCATCCTGGGCCTGGGAAAGCAAATCCTGTGAAGACATGGCATCCCTGAGAGAATCGAATTGGAAAACAGGACTCATTTCAAAAACAGCCTTTAAACACCTGGGAACACAGCATTGAGTGGATGTACCATATCCCCTACCATGCACCAGCAGCTATAAAAGCTGAACGGTGCAATGGCCTACTTAAAACTACCTTAAAGACACTGGGTGGGGGGACTTTCAATAACTGGGAGATTAATTTAGCAAAGGCCACGTGGTTAGTGAACAGCCAAGGTTCCACTAATCGAGCAGATTCTGCCCAATCTGAGCCCTTGAAAACAACAGATGAAAATAAGGTTCCAGGGGTACATATGAGAGCTATGCTGGGAAAAACTGTTTGGTTAATTCGGCCTCCAGCAAAGACAATCCCATCTGTGGCATTGTCTTTGCCCAGGGACCAGGTTGCACCTGGTGGTTGATGCAAAAGGATGGAGAAACCCAATGTATACCTCAAGGGGACCTTGTATTAGGGTGAACTACCCATGATGCCATGCTTGTATCTGTATCTACATGTATATATGTATATAATTTTTAAAGGTTTAAATTTGATGTAACATGTTGGTATGGGAAAAAATTCGGGGTGGATAATGTTGGGGGCTGAGTTTTGGTTGTTTTCTTTCTTTCCTGTTCTCTCCTTATCACCTGTAGAATTTCTTCCTGTTGAGTGGCTAATGGGAGCTGAGGGCTTGAGCTGGGTGGGGAGGGGGAACTCTTGTTTTTTTAGGAGTTTCTCTGGGAGGCGCAGGGGGGATGTGAGACTCTGTCCAAAGTTCCTCTTATCTGCCTCACATCATCATTGGGCACCACTGAAGAAAAGACCCTCCTCTGAAATTTCTGGCCCTGTTGGAGAAAGTCCCTTTCCGAGAACTCTGAGACCTGAGCATAGCCCCTGACTTGCTGAGCTATTGTTCACAGATGTGTTTGCTGTATGCTACATTAAACCCAATGATAGAAGGAGGAGGCACCTTGCCCTTTTTGCAACAATAGCCTTGGATGTTGTCCCACCTCTTGGCCTGGCTGGACTTCTCCGGAGTTTTGGGTGGTCCCCACAGAAGACCCCTCTGACTCGTTTGTAACCACCATGACAGACAAACTGAGATGTAAGGAGCCTCTCCATAAAAAACCAAGACATGAAACCTGTATGTGAAAAGGGCTCCCCCCCTCACACTTTCCAGGGACTGGGACTGAAATACCCAGCCTGGGGGAGGTGTGTGAGGGGAGGCAAACTGACCAAAGCAAGATGGATGTTGCAGGTGTGAGCAGTGGACCAAGAAGACAATGGCTCTTGCCCACTGCTGAGAACATGGGACTGTGCGTACCCTTCTCTAAACACCATTCTTTCCCCCAAAGATACAATAGACTACCTTTCATTCAGTTTCAAGATTCATCCCCTTCCCCCATCAAAAAAAGAGTTTAATTAGAGTCTGGGTGAACTGCACACCTGAGATCTCCCTGGACATGACCTGGTGAACTCCATCGGCTGGACATCAAAGGACTTTGCCACCCTACGTTTGGTAGCTATGTACCTTTCTTTCTCTTCCTCCCTCTTTTCCTTATTTTTCCCTGTTTTCCCCAATTCCTCCCCAACGCATTTTGCTGTGGTTATTCAATAAAGGTGCATTTGTTTTAATTATCACTGCAAACCCCCCTTATACCGTGTTGGTATTTTTTGCACCCTGAGATCAAATCCACGAATGATCATGAAACCATTCATAAGGACGGATCATGACAGGGGGCAGGGATACTGGGAGATTTGGGCTGGGGGCAGTTCCTAGCTTGCTCTCGCTCTCTTGGCACTGGAGGGGACACAGGCTGGGGTGAGAATTTACCACCACTGCGAGACCCCGTCCCTGCTGCCTTCTCCTACCACGATTGTGACCCAGCAAGGAACCTTTCTTCTGCTGCTGGGCTCTGCATCCCCTGCCCTGCAAAGGCATCCCACAGGTTGCAGCTATTTGCCCTGGAGTTTTGGGACATTCTCTTTCACTGTCCCGGAATTTTCTGCTCATCCCTGCCATTCTATCTGGCTGGTTCTGAGAGTCCTGTTGGGGCACAGGGCTCGGCTGCCCCGGGGCTTGTGGAGCAAGGCCTCTCCTCCACCCCTCCCTGTCTGGGCCAAGCCGCCGTTGCCGCGCGCTCCCCGCGCCGGCCCACAGCGCCTCCTGCAGCCTCACGGGAATCACTGCACCTGCCCCGCCCACCGGGAGCCACCAGCGCCCCTGCTGGCCATCCCGGGAACTGCACCAGAGGGGAAAGTGCCGCAGCCCCAAGGCTGGGACTGGGCTCCTGCTCTATGATCAGTGATGCTGCAGGGGCTGGGGTTCTGTGTGCCTTGTTATACACACTAGGAAAGAACTGTGGGACTGGGCTCCTGCTCTGTGATTGGTGATGCTGCAGGGGCTGGTGCTGTGTGTGCCTTGTTATACATACAGATAAAGAACTCTTACTGCTATTCCCATTCCCATAGTTTTGCCTGAGAGACCCTATTTTCAAAATTATAATAATTCAAAGGGGGGAGGTTTACATTCTCCATTCCAAGGGACGCTTTTCTGCCTTCCCTAGCAGACACCTGTCTTGTAAATCAAGACAAGGTGTTTCAGTGCCATGGTCAACAGAATAGTCCCCATTGAAGGACTGTCCCTCCCCATCCCCTCTAAGGAGCTGAGCAGGAGGAGCTCACAGGGTGGATGGATGTAGAGCAGCTTTTTTTCAGATGGATGAAAGTCTGCTTGGCAATAGCCCTGCTCACCTGGGTTCTTCTTCAGTTACGCTCTGCAAGGCTGAAGCTAATCCTTTGTGGGCTCCAGACTTTGCATTACATC